ATGATCCTATATTTTTGTAATGGTTAATAGGAGGTTTTGCAGTAGAGACATAAACCTGGTGACCATTCCCCTGAACTCTGGAATCAGACATCTTGAGCTTAAAACCCACTTATAAACTGTATGGCCTTGAACATATTACTTAGCATAAAGCCACTTTTCTATGACTCAGATTCCTCAATGGTCAAATGGAAACTACAGTGCCTACTTCAAAGGTTATTGTGGGGATTCAATGAGATAAGTATATAAAGCACAGAGCACAATGTCTGGCATGTGGAAAGTGCTCCAAAAGTTGTATCATCCTTATTAACAGCATTAGGATTATTACTATCATCATTTTACTTAGATATTAGTACTCTCCCCAATTCTTTAGTTACCTTCTCAAGCTTATGCTAATCTCACACTTGGGCTCCAACTGATTGGCAGTGAACCAACAGAAGATTCATTATATCAAAGTGTTTGCCACAGAATGTGTTTGGGAAATTCATGACCCATCACTTTGGTACCAGCATCTAAGTTTACGGTTACCCTTTGTCATCTTCTTACTTTATTAATAATACTGTGACATGGACTGTTTGTAGTTAGTTTAAAAAATAAGAAGCTTACTTGAAGTCATCTATATTTTCAGCCTCATTTAACTCTCAATTAATTTACAACCCACTGAATGAGGAAATACCATCTAGATTTGTCCCAAACCTAATCTCTCCCAAGAGAAGCCTCTTCATTCTAATATTTGAATAAAAGAGCTTCTTTTTTTTTAAGAGCAAACATTTAAAATATCATTGACCATTTTTAGATTATTCTCAATCTGTTTGTAAAGCTAATAATATTTCTTAGATTAAAACAGTTCTATCAGTATTTGATAATCGCTTTCTATAGATTGTGAGCATTTATTTCTTGAATAATATCTAAGATGTTTTCATGAGTCTTTAAGAAACAGCTATGGCCTTTGAGTTTGTTTACGGTAGATTTTGCTTAAGAAAATGATCTCCATCTAGTGGCAAAATTTTTATATTACAACCTACAAAGAAAAATATCAAAGCCCCTAAAACATCTGGTGGTAAGCATCTTACAACCTATTAATACATTTTTGGGTTTGTTTTTTTTTTGCAAAAAAATGTTAAATGTTTTGAGCAATTGTTCCAAACTTAAAATGGAGAATTTATTTAAGACTTTGGCTTCAATTAATCGGAAAAATCATAATAAAGTAGAAATCACTGACTTGGGGGGTTATTTTGGTATTTATTCAGTTGAACTGAGAAAAACTAAGTCAAAAATGACACTCCTGTATCTCCTATATTTCTGTTTAAGCATAGCAAGAAAGGATACTTATACTTTATTTTTTAAAACAGTAAAACATATTGATATTGAAGGGAAATTAACATAAGCAGTTTTTTAAGTGTTTACATTAGGTCCTCCTCATGCTGAAGTGCTTCCCTGACTATCTTCTTAGAGCAAAAATCTCCCTTTATCCTCCCCCTATTCAGAGGTCTTTACTGTCTTTCAGCTGTATAGTGAATGCCTTCAGAAGCTTCCTTTATTATTAATTAATTAATTAATTAATTTTTTATTAAGGTATTATTGATGCACACTCTTATGAAGGTTTCACATGAAAAAACAATGTGGTTACTACATTTACCCATATTGTCAAGTCCCCACCCATACCCCAAAGCAGTCACTGTCCATCAGTGCAGCAAGATGCCACGGATCCACTATGTGCCTTCTCTGTGATA